AATTCAAATGACGCCCCCGATTCCCAGGCAAAAGAAGGCTACGAAGAAAACGTACACAGGGACATGGGAACGAAGTTTCTTGTCAAGGAGAGGAAACAATAGGAGAGAGGAAAATGTAGAAAGCTTGTTAAGAGTTTTAAGTGTTAACAATGTAAGTAAAATAAATCTTCGAAATTTGTTTGAAATGCAAAACTATATAATCATCCGTATAACATACTTTCCCTGTGATAAAATAGTACTTTACAAAAACGACATTTTTGCATAATGACTCTTTCTTTGTTCTAATTTCAAAATCTATTTTAAAGGATAATATGCACTGTAAACATGCGTATTACAAATCTGGTTATTAATGAGTGAAGACGTTTACCACTGTTTCAGTGAGACAACAGAGCGTGGAAATAAAAAATGGACACAATGCGTGACCAGCAAATTCCATAATATAATCGAATGCGATAATTATCAAATTCGTGAAAGCCCAAGTATTGCGAAGAATTTCGTGTCAGCATTGCTAAAACTGCAGTAACTAACTTACTTGTTCTTGTTTAAAAAACACAATATTTTCATAATGATTTAGCAAGTCGTCCCATGAGAGTTCGTGCCTTTCAAACACCTGTACGGGACGCGTCGTCTACCAATCAGCGCCGCTGTATGAGAAATGTCACATGTGTAATGTGACATTTGATGATGTGATTATTCAAATGTTATGCAAATTTCATATTATGACGTTAAGCACACCGCAGTTTCCCCCGCTTGATACGCAATTCATTATGCACTGTTGTTGGACAGGAAAGATAATGTACAACCCTCTAAAGTCAGTGTATGATGGGTTGTCTAACAATCAGGGGCGTGTAATAATAACCAAGAGACGCGAATAAACTTAGTAATATCTTAATAGCACTTAGAAAACTTCGTAATTTAGTTTTTCCTCCTCAGTTTCCTCTTCACTTCATGTTATGTAAGTATGAAAGAATAGTAAGTAATAAAATTAAGGAATTAATCATGCATCTTAAATGATGGAGTCACCAGTATGAGTTCCGCGACAACAGAAATTAAAATTTTCTTTATCGTTAATGTTCATTTCGTTTCTCTATGAAACTGACCAAATTGGTGATGCAAGGTATACTAATTAGTACAAAGACACCAAATTTTGGACCACACGTTCCTTAAATAAGATTTATCTTCGGCCTCTACAAGCCCTAAAAGTAGGTCAATTATTCTGAGGCACTCTATACGTCTTTCAATGTGTTACGTACGGCTTTCACAATTTTTGTACTCTATCACTACTTCCGTACTCAAGGGAGCTCAACGATATACCCAGAGTAGTTTTTCCCCTAAATATATTTTTTGTAGACAATAAGACAGAGTTTCATTGAATGCGACTTTTATCTTTAGCATCTTTCCTAAGTCTTAATGATAGTTTCGTCTTTAAACGCTCATCAGAATATTAGAAAAAATCTAACAAGCCACGCGTAAACGCTTCGTGGAAACTCCAACGTTCTCGTAGATCCTGGGCTGCCGATATACACATCGCAATCTGATATAGATAGCTGTCTTTGTAAAGAACAATTGTGTGATCGAAGGAACATTGTTCATTTTGAAATAGTTTTTTTTAAACATAGGACATTACTATCCATGCTTCCGCGGAGAGGACTGCGAGTACATAAAATGTATATGGCTTTGCTATTCGTTTAGAAGAAAAAAGTATTTTACTTCTAACTTACTGAAACTTTAATAAATTTATTGCTAAAAACACGTAGTATTAGTTTTGAGATATATAAAATGCCCTTTTAATGATATTGGAATTTTAAATCATAAGGCCATACATAACAGACAAATTAATATGTGCTATTTATTAAATACAAAACATTTATTCCAAAACCAATCAATATATTTTAACAATATTGTACAATTTTGAAACAATGCATCAATTTTGAAACAATTCATCAATCACGCAATCAATATTGCACAATTTTGATACAATGCATCACTACAACGCATCAGTTTTGAAACAATTCATCAATCTCTCAATCAATATTGTACAATTTGTTTGCACCAATATATAAATATACATACATATTTTGTAATATATGTTTTGTAATAAACAAATATGATAAATAAATAGTTAATTTTAATTTGTTGTGTGTGGTCTTATAATTCTAAACAGTATTATTTAGAGACCTTAATATTAATGATTTTGCAATTTTATTTGAGGTTTAACGTTACTGGTGTTCTCTAATTACCGGAATGACTTCCGGCTGTTAAACAAACACCTGTGTTTGCGGCGGCGATGGTGTAACGGTTCCGCACTGTTGTACCCAAGTTCGCGGGTTCAAACCCGATCGAAGCCGTGCATTGCAGGGCGAACAAATCCTTCGTACGCCTTCCTTCGAAGGGGAAGTAAAGCCGGCTGTCCCATGTTAGTAGCATGTAAAAGATCCTCAAGCCTAAATGACGCTAAATTCAAACCGCCTGTTTCTCGCCCAAGAAATACCTCCTTCCTCTGCTAGTTGTTGAAAGGAGCGTAGCAGAGTTGGCGTGGTCAGGTGGGAGAGTGGGCCTGATGGCCTAAGTCTCGCCACGTAAAATAAGGCAAACTCAATTCAATTCCATTCTGTCTAACAATGTGTGTGTTTGTGTGTGTGTTTCAGAGTGTTGCGTCCGCTTGAGGCGATGCGCGTGTGGGC